TTGCGCAGTAAGTCTTCCAAGCATGAGGATACCATTTACAATATCATACCCTACACATTTCAATCAACTCTTCCAACGACCATCCACAGGAATTCAGACACGACCCTGTAGGATATGAGCCAGATGAGCATATATACACGACCTTTATGATCTGCGTTCACTACAGCGAACCTGTCTTCATAAAACAAAGCAGACAAACTGGTTTAAACGGTTAGTAAAAATGAAAAAAATGAAACGCGAAAGGTCGCTAAATCTAAGGGTAAAATTTGGGGTATGATAGGCAGTTTCCATTGGTTGTCGATCAACTTGCTCCTCTTGTTCTTCTTCTTCATCCTCTTCATTATCCTCCTCACTCTCATCGAAATCCTCTACCCGAGAAGTAGTGGCGTTAACAACAATTTTGTACCTTTGTTCCTCATGAAGCCAGATATACCCCATCATAGTAAAAGTTTTCTGACAAAACTCCTGATCCAAAGTAAGCGATTTATATAGAAACTCTGGATACACAATTTTAGCGCTAGTCAGAATCTATTGAATGACTGACTCGTAAGAGAGAGTTATACCATGACCTGAGTCCCTCAAAGCGTAAATCCTACTTGCAATGTAGTACGACCAATTAATTTTAGTCTTGTTTCTCAAAATATACATCAAGCGAACTTCCGTCTGATCTACCCGAGAAAAACCACCTTTCTTAGGCCGCAAAATGCGAGCCACTATCCACTGCATAACCCTATCATGTGGTTTCAACTTTCCGGTGGTGACAGTTTTCGGAAACACGTCGCTTTCCATAATATGAGCCGCATACGGATTTTTCAACAGAGTTCAAAGCTGTCTTGAACTCATAGCCTTCCACTGTGCATGCATCAGTGACCTCATAGAGAGGCTTGTCCGAATCAAGAAACATATTAAAGTACTTTTGCCAGACAGCAGGAGTGACACTAACCATTGTGTTGCCAACCTGAGTGTGAAATTGAGAACCTGAAAATTCACCGTGAAGACATGTGTAGAAAATACAAACTAGGTCTTCATTATATTTTTCATTGCACTCCAAAAAGTTGTTTATCCCTTGAAAATCAAGAAGTTCGATGATGTGAGGAAGGTGCATGCGCTCTGCCGAGAGACGATAATAAGCGTGTTGCTTGACCACATATCTTTTACTAAAATTCTTGGTGAAGCTTTCAGTAAACTCCGGAGGTACTAAGGATACGGCTGAAACCAGAATGGAAGCAGATGAGGAGGCTCTTGAAGTTCTTTTACTTGTCACTCTTCTTGCAGCCATGGTTGTTGAGCTCAAAAAGATGATAAGAAAGATAGGTTGATGATGATTTGCAAGGATTGGAGAAGATTGTTGAATGTGTAGAGAGATTGAGAACTTTACCCTTTTTGTAGAAGCTATTTAGGTTTCGGGAAGAGGAGAGTGATAGGGTATAGGTATGATATAGTGTCAAGTTACAATGCAAAGAGTAATGATATACCATTAATGAGTCATCAAAAATTGAAATAATGAGGATTTTGAACGATTTTAAAAAATTTGAAAGTTTTCGCGCGATGCGTCGACCGCTCCTTTGTATGCGTCGAAGCATACTATGTTAAAATTGGCACGTTCAAAAACTCAAAGGTGTGCATCGACCGTAGGTCGACCTGAGCATACCCGAACAAAATTTCAATTTTGGGGACATTTTTGTGAGTCGACCGCACCCTGTTTTAGGTCGACTCATGCAGACAAAACATGCATATTTTCAAATTTATGAACTTATAAGCAACAAATATACATAAATAACCAGCCAGAACAAACATCAAGCATTCAAATACACAAGATACATATATTATGACATATATGACACATATAACACAACATATGAAGCATTTAATTTTTACATTTAAAACTTTTAAATAAAAAAACAAAATATATCACAACAGTGGAACTCACCAACCATATTCATAACCCTTTAAGTTTTTATTTAAAAATAAATAAAAAAGAAAAGGTGTGCCTTAACATTAAAGGAATAATACATATGAGGGCGCTAAGGTTCGAACCCATGAAAGCTTGATGTTATTACCACAGTTGGCTCCTCAACCGTTGTTATATACAAATAATTTTTAATCAAAAAACAAAAATAATATGATAGCGTCTTAGTTTAGAGATGTCACCACGGTGTAGGAAAGAACCGTGGTGACCATGGCGTTGTTGTTTACGCGTTTTGTAGTAGTGAGGCAATTATTTCGATTTAGTATAAATAAGAGGTCTTAGTGTTAGGATTTCGTGTGCGGTCAAATTTGTAGAAGTCACTCAAATTACTCAAAGTACTCAGTGTGTAGAGAAAAGAGTTATTGAAAAATGCATGTTTGATGAAACACCATTTTCTTACATTTTAATCAAATTCAATTTATGTTTTTGTTCAAAAATTTATCTTCTTTATTTGCACAAGTTACTTTTAACTCATTTTACTGCACTTTCGATACTTTCCTGCAACGTAATTTCTTTTATATTCCGAAGTAAACTATTTTTCAAATCATGAATTTTGTCGAAGTGTTCATTGTTTCTCAAAATTTAATTTAAAAAGCATTAGCACATGTTCTAGGAATCACTGGTTGATCCGGTAAGTTAACCAATATTTGAAGATCAGCGGTTGTTTACCAATTTTCACGGTAAACACACACATGTATTCAATCTTAGAAATTATAACAAACAGTGAATTATGAATAAATAATAAAAAATAGTTACTTGTTAGTTTTCTCATATTCTTCTTCATGATCATACCGATTAGCATGCACATCAATTGTATCAATTTTTCCATATGAAGTAGGCACATGTGTTGCGAAATAAGGTGTCTCAGGAATATCAAAATTTAAATCTTGATTTTTATACTATGAGGAATATGGTTTTCTTGGAGAATAATTGACCATCTTTTGACAAAAAGGTCAATGACATCAAAAACTTGTTATGCTTGGGATCCCATGATGAAGGGTTCGTTCATATTAGCTGCCTTACCAAGGTCAACCCGTGTGAATTCTAACTCATCAGTTTTTACATTAATGTTACTGAAATTCCACTTGCATTTAAATAAAGACACTTTGAATTGTACATAATTAATCTCCCAAATGTCCACGTCTGAGGTAGAATACGTTGTTGCAAGTAGTTGTTGTTCTCAAATTATCTGGATGAATCATTAACTCAATGATTACGCTATTAACCTTAGAGTTTTCCTGATAAGATGCAACAACAATAACACCATATACCTGACAAAAAATAAGATTTTTGACTCTGGGTCTAAACACATTGAAGTTATGCACCACTTTATTAGAGATCATATTGAAAAGAGGGACTACATAATTGAATTTGTGACCGTATCTAATAAACTCGCATATGTTTTTACAAAACCGCTTCCTAAACAAAACTTATTTTTCATAAGAACTGAACTTGGAATTCTTAATAAATCATGCATGGATTAGTAAACTTATGTGTCTTTTCTTCTTCTTCCTTTTCCCATTCTCTACATGATGTTTTATGATCCATGCGCTATGATTTTTTTTCTTTTTGAATATGTCAAAGGCGGAGAAATATACTCTAAAGAGACTAGTGTGTAAGAGAGAGAGAGAGAGAGAGAGAGAGAGAGAGAAAGAGAGAGAGAAGTATACAAAGGATTATTAACCTAGTTCGGTGCAACGTCACCCACGTTTGGGAAAGTTCCAACCCAAGAAAGAAAATTCACTCTCAATAGTATTAGTACAAATAGTCTTAGATGAACAAACATTGTTCAATGCCTCTCTTCATAATTCTACCTGTGAATTTCTATTTAGGACTCCCACTAAATATTAGAACTTCTTTCACTTTCTCTTATTCATTAACTCTAGTGATCAATACATAAAACATATTTAAAGTTTGTTGAATTGCAAATCAACTAACAAACAACGTATATGCTTTTAATTTGAAACTTAGGCGGTATAGAGGTGCACAATAAATAACAAGAACAAACCCTAACACACTAGATATTAAACTCTTGCACACATTTCAATGTTAGGAAATCATCTTCTTAAATAGAAAACAATATGTTGGGCTTTTCTTAAACGGGCTTCTGATATGAGAACACTCAAATAGATTTTTTATGTAGATTTGAATGCCTTGTCATAACTGTCCACCAAGAGATTTTAATATTTTAAAAATTAAATCTTATTTAATTTTATTTGATCTTGGACAATCTTTTTAGAAAATTTTATTAAATAACATATTTCTAAAATATACAACAACAATTCTCCTTGAAATCTACTAGAATCTCACTCATATTTACTCATAAACCATGGCTATAGACTAAGGTCAGATGTTAAACATATGTTAGAACACCTTATCCTTCGGGATACTTTTTCACAAATTACATCTTATAATTCTCATGTTGTTTTATCTAAAGTAGCCAATCAAAAAAACAATAATCTTCTAATTTAAATTTTTTTTAGCTAAAACAACTTTTAAAAAATCTACAAGATGTATAGGAGTAAGTCTTCAAAAACTTCACAATTATAAGGGCACAAAAGTAGCACATCACAAAATACACATTAGAACATGGACAACATAGAAAGTCTTTATTAGATCATGCAAACACTCATCTTGCTACACACATCATCATCACTAATTCAATGTGGTTGCTAATCAGATTAAAACAAATTCATTTACACAGAGCATCAAATAATCACTATCCCCTTTTGTCATAATTTGACAAAGGTATAGAAAGAAATGAGAACCATATATGGAATAACTAGAATCATTGTCATAATGCATAACCATTGTCATTGTTAAAGATCCATTACACAACCAGTAAAAAAAATAGAAAATGCCCAATACAAAGGCTAAGAAAACTTAATCAAAACAACAAACTAAGAAAATCGCAGTCAACAGTGTCCATTTTTACTTTCTTTATCTTACAATACTTTTATTTATTTTTTTACACCTACTTTTATTTATGTAGTATTTACTTACACATAAAACAACCTGCATAATATATGATTTATATATTTGAGAGAACTTTTATCATATCTTGGCGTGGCCTGCATAAAGCAACCAAAGGTTCAAATTTAGGCATTGTAATACCTATTCCCTCAGTCATGTCAAGTTCTTCATTCCCAATCCTCTCCCATTCAAAACATTGAATCAAAGACGCCATTGCATTTGCCATAAAACGTTTTGCTAAAACAGATCCAGGACAAGCTCTCCTTCCAGCACCAAATGGAATCATATTATAATAAGCCTCACTGTCTAACTCCCTTTCTTCAAATCTTTCCGGCACAAACTTTGTTGGGTCCACCCATAAGTTAGGGTCCCTATGTAAGGTCCAAAGATTCACAAGAAGAATCGTCCCTTTTGGTATATCAAAACCACAAACATTGCAATCATTTGAGGACTCGTGTGGTATCAATAATGGAGTCACGGGGTATAACCGAAGTGTCTCCGTAATTACATTCTGTAAGTATTTTAGTTTTGAAGCTTCTGATTCATTCATAAGATGATCTTGATGTATACAAGTGTTTATCTCTTCTCTAACCTTGTTCATTTTTTCTGGATGGTTGAGGAGAAGTGAAAATGCCCATTCCATGGTTCTAGCTGAAGTTTCAGAGCCAGCTACAAGCATAATCTGCATAATTATTTTCACATATCAATGATATCATATTATAACTATACTAGTAATTATTTTTAAGGTATGAAATTTTCAACTAGATTTATAATTCGTGTGCCAGAAAGAAAGTAGTATAGTAGAATAATTCTCACCAGAATAACACCTTTCACAATTTCTTCCGTGTAGAATTCCGGTTCCTTTTGTTGCAAGTCTAACATAACATCAATCAACGTCATATTTTTTTGGTCGTTGCTCCAATTTCTCCGTTTCTCATCAACTAGCTTCTGAAGAAAACTATCCATCTTTTTCATCACCTTCACCATCTTCTTTTTCATCCCTTGAAAATCAATCCATTTCAGTATTGGAAAATAATCATTCAAATTTCCACTTCCAAGAAGCTCTATATATTCATTTATTAAAACTTGAAACTCTTTTCCTTCTAAGGCAACATCGTCATCTTCACCATAGTATCGTTTCCCCGATATCACTCTCAGCATGGTGTTGAAAGAAACCTCCAAAGTTTTTGTTTTGAGGTCAACCTTTGACATTGTTTCTCCTTTGCACCCTTCAAATATTTGCTTAATCAACAATTTCACCTCTTCTTCTCGAACTTTCACAAACATCGCAACACGATTGGTAGAGAAAAGCTCCATAGTTGTTAAACGACGCAGTTTGCGCCAAAGTTCACCATAAGAGGACATCGCTACTGTTGTATTATTGTAGTTGAGATATTTTCCGGCAAGTGTTACGGAGCGATTTGCGAATGTTATGTCGTTATTTGACAAACATTCTTCTACTGCGGATGGTGAAGAGACGACGAGGACGTTGCGTGCTCCAAATTGGAGGAAGAAGACATGGCCGTAGGTATCTGTGAGGCTGTGGAGACATCGTTGTAAGGGTTGTTTGATGAGGTGGAGATGGCCTATGAGTGGTAAAGATGGTGGAGATGGAGGGAGGTTTTTGTGGTTGGATTGTTTCCTTTGAGTTAGTTTCAAAAGGATGAGGAAAGTTAGGAGGAAGAGTGAAGTGGGTATCACTATCATCCATTTGGTTTCTTCCATTTTTGTATAATAATAGTGCTGGGAGCTTCCTCTTTCAAGTTATTACTCTGAGAGCGGTGATATAGTTTTTGTTATATAGAGATAAATAATTGAACTGGTTCATAGATTTATATAGTTATCTTATCTTCAGGAGAACCACAAATATGTATTTCATCATAAAATTTAATTTCTCCCTACTACAATAAATCAGCATTCCGTTATTTACAAAATATTCTAAAAAAAGAATTACAATTTTATCGAATTATTCGTCTTAATTACTATTAATATTTTACAGTAATAAATGCATATGAAGTAATAATGTATATAAAATTAATTAAATTATACAAGTAAAATACAATTAATAAAATGTTATAAATTATACAAGAAAAAATATATATTTTTGTTGGAACAATTACTTGTATACACGTGACAATTATGTAACTAATGAAATATTTATTACTATTATAAAATAATTCATTCTAATGACACGTCCTAGAATTTTAGATATATTTTTTTAATAATAATTTATCTTTTATTTTATAGGCAAAGAAAAAAGAAAGATCGGTGATATAGATATCTAGGTTATATTGTTAGATATGAAATTATCCGGATTTTTCTTGGCTTGCATAGTAGAATTTCATGTCTATGTTTTTTTTTGGATGGAAAATGACGTCTCTCTTCAGTGGCAAAAAGGATGATCAATCAGACTGATTTTAGGATGATGTTGTAAAGATTGTCTCTGTGTATTTTTTTTCTTCTCACTCGTGAGTTTCCTAGCAATCATTAGGTTTCGTTTGTAGAGAGGATCATTTCTAGTATCTGGAGTAGTTGGACCCCCTCTTAAGTAATTATTTTTGCTCTAAGCTTTTGCAAAATATGATTCATATTAGAGACGATTTACTCAAAAAGAGATCGTTTTTATTTCAAAGGGTCTCTTTTGTTCTTTCTATTCTAGAAACCTATAGTCATCAACTCATTTTATTGACCTATTATGTAGTGTTTATTGTTTGGTATATTACTTTTAGATGGTTCACTAATAAAAAAAATAAACTCATTTCACCTCGGTTGAAAAAGAGATTTTATATTGGTTTCGCATATGAAGTAACGAAGGGCATCATGAAAATTTATCACTTTAACCCTCGATTTTTGTTCCACCGAGAATTAAAGTGTAAAGGTTATTGGTTAGATCCTCATCAACAATATTTTTTATTTTCAAAATTATAAATAGCATGCCCACGTACCTCTTTGTTTTTGTTAATAAAAAAAAATATTTATGTCAACTTGAAACTAAAACCGAGGGGTAAAACCTAATCTTTGTCATTTATATTTTGTTTTAAATCTCAATTTGACTGGTTTGTATTTTTTTTTTTACACATAATCAGAACATAACATATTGTGACATAATAAGAACATTTTATTTGTAATTCTCATTGCATTATAAGGGTACGTAGGCACAAGATTGAGAAATCTTGGCGAGCCACCTTCCTCCGTCTTTTTCTTCTGTCTCTCTAGTCTGTTCATATCTTCTTTCTTTTCTTTGGTTCCCTGAACTACGGAGTTCTGACTTCCTCATTGCACTATGAGGGTACGTAGGCACGAGGGCCCCAATCCTCTGCGATCGCTTTCTTTTTCTTTCTCTCTCTCCTTTCTTTTTAGTTAGAAGCCTTTAGATAGATAACTCATCCAAGCCTAGAAGTAAGCTAAATGGTTCCCGTTGGGTACGACAGATGCTTAAGGTGCTAGTACCTTCCTTTCGCATAACCGACCCCCTTTCCCGTTTCTCTTCCCTTGGATTTTATCGATATTTTCCCTGTCCTTTGGGACTAAATAAATTTCGGTGGCGACTCTGTTGTATCTTTGAGTGTGCGATTCACTCAGGTATAATCCCGCTAGCTTCAGATATGGACTAAGAATTTGGTTTGAATATGGAGTAAGAATTGGTAATAACTTGGATTAAGAATTTTGTTATGGATTAAGGATTTGGTGATGGATTAAGAATTGGATTAAAACTTGGTTTAAAAGGCCAAATTAAAATCCAAAAAGAAAATACTATCATAATAATTAAATTTATTGTTAAAAGAAATAACATTCAATTAACAATAAATTTAATCATTAATATAATGTAATCTTAGCCAATGGAAAATGTGAAAATCAATTAATGATGCAAAAATTACTAGATATGATTTTTGAATTGAAATTGAACCCCAAATTGAAATAAAACCTGATTGACGCATGAAAAAGAATGATGAATTACTCATTATGACTAGGTCAACAGTAAGTCAACCTTACAAGAATGGATTCCCAATCTTTCTGTCCATGTTGTATACCAATACCACAAATATGTCTTGAGTCAAACTCTAATTGACCATGTATTCCCTAAAATCTCCTCAATAACTTGCACCTCAAGCAATTATGGAATCTCTTGAATGTTAAGATGCACAAACTTCACAAGAATACATCTTGAAGGCCACATGATCAGGGAAATAAACTCTAATCAAGTAATAATGGTGGACACCAGAAGATGATGCTATTGATGATTGCATAACCAAAATTTGAAGATCCACTACTATAAATGTTGTATTTAGCCTCGGCCATTTTCCGACACTATAAGGCAAAAAACCGCCGCTGCTAGCCAATTAGCGTCGGTGTCGGGGATAGGCTAAAACGATCGAAGCTAACATTTAGCCTCGGCCAAGAAGAGTCGTGTCTACAGTAGCCTCGGTCTAGCCGTGTCTAATTTAGCCTCGGTTTAGCCGTGTCTACTTTAGCCTCGGTGAAGCCGTGTCAAAAAACAAAAAATAGTCTGGGCCTGACCGAGGCTAAAGTCAAACTCCATAAGCTCACATAATATTTAGCTTTGGTCCTGGTCGAGGCTAAAGAAACATTTTGCCTCGACTTTTCTAAGGCTAAGTTCAAACTTTATAAGTCAACAAAATATTTAACTTTGGCCTAACCGAGGCTAAAGTCAAATTGTAAAAGTCAACAAAATTATGTCTGCTTTCCAATTGTATAATCTATATATGTTGACCATGTTTTCCAATAATGACAATTATGTCATGTCCTGTTCTCCTTCAATCAATTTATCAAAACATATAACACATATGAAGTAAGAGTTATCAAAATATTACATAGATTGAAACAACAACAAAAAAAAAGTAGTCATAGCTACAACAAAAAACAGCCCCAAAAACTCGGAATACATTGAAAATCATGTCCAAAGAAATCTACATCCGAGACTACTTCTACTAACACTGCATGATCAATCTTCACTTAATGATTGGTCATCTAAATCATCGTTATAGTGAGAATTTGATGATCGAATGACAACACTAGCAGATTGACCATTTGTAGGGTCAAGCTTCTGCATGATAAATGCCTTCAAAGCATTCAGTTCAGACTCCATCTTCTTAGCAAACCCGTTAGACGCTTGATATTGTTCGGTTGCCTTCCGAGAAATCTCATTTAACGTCTGAATAGCTTTGGTAGCCTCTTCGAGTTGAGCTGGTGTAACTGCAGCCAATTGTTCAGCTCTAATTCTAGATGCTCTCTCTGATTCAAAGGATGTCCCAAACATAGATCTGCAGGAATTTTGAGGTTGTTGGATAAAGGATGTAGATCCATGCTTCAAATTGATAGCTAAATCCGTTGTTCCATAAACCCGACCACGACTACGACCCCCAGCAGAATCTGTCCATAATTAAAAAACGGTCCCTCCATATAACCTCTCGACATCATCTCCAGCTTTTTCCTTAAAAATGGACTGTAAAACAGAAAAATGAGTCATCTCTAAATATAGGATTCTTATTGTGCATGCATGAGTTATATAAGAGTTATTGTGCCTGCATGAGTTAGTACAACATTTCAGTAATTAATGATGCATGGAAGATTAAGGTTCATCTTGTGGCTAGTGATGCATGGAAGATTACCAACCAAAGACAAACTATTTAGATTTGGAGTGGCCACTGATGGTAATTGTGTTTTCTGTCACCAACAGGAAACTCTATCAAAGTTCAAGCAAACATACCTGATGACTCTCTCTGCAATAATTTCACACAAGAAAAACACATACAGAAAATCCTACCAAATACTACAACCTAGTCTCACCTTGACTGTCTAAGAAACTTGTCCTCATGGATTAGCAACTCTGAGCCACATAACAGATCTAATCATGTGTAGAAAGCTAATGATAACAGTCAATCCACAAATCTCATGATAGTAACATTTTAGTCATTACAATGCCAACATCAAACTCTAATTATTTATATTGTTTTTAATGAAAGTTACTACTTATCAAAACAAATATAAATAAGTTTTTAGAATGAAAAACCAAATTCTAACAGCAATAGATGCAACCATGATCATTTTGGTATCAGTCATTCATCATGGTGCGGTATGTACAAACTTTGGTATCAATCATTATCATTTTGTTTAATATTGTAACAGACTTTGTCAAAACAAAACAAAACAAAACTTCAATGGACAACACAAACTTTGTTTAATCTTAAAATAGATGGGTTCTAGTATCATTATCCACACGGTTTTACACCAGTGCCAAATCAACAAATTGAAACTGAAACAATAAAACTTCTAAAGAAAGAAAAATCAGTTGTAACGGTGCGATATTATTCATGCTACAGGTTGCTAACATGATCATTCACATCACTTGTAGCAGGAAGAGAACAAATGACTTCCTTGTGATTTTGACATTGTATTGCAGCAAGTATCACAAACAATATTCGGAGAAAATCGACTCTCAAAGCAACATACATGATACCACTGATATTAATCGTAACAATGCAAATCTGCAACGTTTCGCCAAAACACAATTGCGATAAACAGGTCTCAGAGAAAATAGCTAAAAGTTGAACGCAATACCAAACAACACTTGAAATTATCACCGTTAAGCGTCGATGCCGTAACATTCATTAACATGATGGAACAGAACTTGAAATCCAAAAGCAGGGCAGCATACAAAGTGCAGATCAATCATAACAGACAACAGTAACATAACTATACGGATA